TAATCATGTTTTTTTTTTATTAATATTATTATTGAAATTCTACATATACTTATATTTGAAATAATTTATTTTATATTTATTAATAATCATGACATTATAACAGTTTATGTCATATTCTTAAATGACAATGAATGTATATTATGACTTTCCTAGTGAAACATTCTCTGTTACAAGGCCAATAAAGAATTTGATTTGATTTTGATTTGACAATATAGGTATCAAATTAATGAGTACATCGCAAAAGTATGTACGAGTACATTTACTATACGTTGTTTACATTTATTGATCATTAAAGGAAATAAAATAAAGATAAAGAACGTAAATGATTCAAAAGCTTTTATTTTTAATACGATTTCGGCAGTCATGATTTTTAATTTTTAAATGTGCAAACATTGGTGGGGCAAAAATATGTGAAAATTATCTAAGAATATTATAAATTACGCAAATGATTTTTCATTGAGATTTTTATTGGTCATGGATCAGACAAAACAACCGCAGTATAAAGTGGAAATTACCGCAGTAAGTAATTGGTTAATAGAAAGCAAACGCTTCTAATAAACAAAACCCATTCGTCTAATCTATATACATAAAAATTTTGTGTCACGATGTATGTTGCCAATAAACTCCAAAACTACTGAACCGATTTCTATCAATCTATATATATAAAAATTTTGTGTCACGATGTATGTTGCCAATAAACTCCAAAACTACTGAACAGATTTCTATCAAATTTCACATGTACCCGTATTTTGGTCTAACTTACTGGATAGGATAGTTATCATCTCAATTATTCGCTTATGTCGTGAATGTAAAAAAAAAAAAATGTACTGATTAATTGTTTCTTAAGCAAGTGTTTATTTAACTGTTTAGTTTTATGAAGTTCTCATAGATGGCCGTGAACGTTGATTCATAGATAAAATTCTTCAATATCGTTTGACATCTAGGTTGCAAATACACCCAATAGATGGCGCTGTGTTCTAGATGGCGTTTATTCTAAAGTAATCTGCGGTAATGTTCCTTTCAACGAATTTTGCGTAGATTACGTTTTCGATTAAGTTTTGTGTAAACTTCAGAACTGTTTCTTTTTTCATCTTTATTTCAAATTGCATTGAATTGGATTAATATCTCTAAAGTTTCAAAGATAAAGTGCTGAAACATACTGGACATTCGTTGGTATTTTGATGTACTATCTTCGAAATTAAACATCAGGGTAATTTCATCATCAGCTCAAAAAACAACAGCGTTTTTGGAAAATATGATATATATATCACGCGGACGAAGTCGCGGGCAAAAGCTAGTTAAAATGTATAATAACAATGTTGATATGACTATATTAGATTCCGTAGATATAAATATAAAACCACTTAGCATTTGGAATCAATATAGAATACAGAAACTTAAATATTCTATATTGACCTGTCCGTGGACATCGACAATAAGAATTAGTGATACAGATATATATTTGTATTTATGGATATAAAAAAAAATCGTTTTGCTATCAGATCTTTCAGATATACAATACAAAATAGTATCGAACTGCGAACATGTATTTTCAAATAAAACAGAACGAGTTTCATGCATGTGCCATGTCATTAAGCTGGAAGCTCGCCGGAAACAAACTCAGCATGTTCTTTGGACACAGACGTTCAAACTTTAGCACTTAATTTTTATAGTACCAATAGATAATACGAGTATTAAAAGAGTATGCACATCACAGTTGGTGCACAGGCCTTCCTTAAGAAAGAACCATAATGTGTGAATAGGCCATAACCGACCGTTACTTCTATAAATTAATGGCTCCTGTAGTTTTAATTAAATTAAAAATATGTTCAGTGAGCCCGTGACCACGGCAGGCGTAACCCGGTTGAAACGTCGGGAAATATAGGTAGGTGAAAAGCCTAACTATCAATCTATCGCGTTAATACCCGTTTCATACAATATAATATGTTCAAAAAAATTTAATTGAGCCAAACAGAATTCTTTCGAAAATTGAAATAAACCAAAATGTGTGAATAATTGTATAAAAAAAGAATATTAACATTTTCATTGATAAATACAAATATACGTATCGATAAATGTATAATAAATAAATATAAGACATCACTTACATTGCTCAGATTCCAAGATGTGTAAGCTAAACCCCCGTATTATGAAGTATCTGAGACAACAAAGCTACTACAGCACCCAGACACAAGACAATATAGAAAAGTTCTTTTTCCACATTGACCCATCCGGGCATCCAACCCGGGACCTCAGAGATGGCGAAATCTTGAACCGGCGTGCGCACCACTCGGCTACGCAGGTATTATCATTAATCATTATAACGTTCATATAGCTATGGTTAGAGTTATAATTCTATTTAGGTGGTCTCTACAAGACGAATACAATCGTGAATAACGTGTCACAAATAACACGTGATTTTAATTAGACTTTTAAGGCCACGATTAAAACATCAAATCGGATATGTGCCTAAACGGAATTCCAACTTATTATGTCTCATTCATTGATTTATGCCTTTTGAGGTAGCTAAATGATAAACTATTAATGCATTATTATTGTTCATTCTGTTTATTGTTTGATATTGCAAATTTTATATTTTATCATACTTCAACCAACTATAAAATAGTTTGAGAAGCACTGAACTAGCCAAATGAATAGAGATCAAGATAGTATTCTTTATAGCTGTTGTGGAGTGGTGCCAAGGAATTACTTGCGTTGTAAAACCCTGGAACAAGCCGGAACAAAGTTTGGCTTGTTCACTTGGGGAACCTTCCTGAGGCGGCAAGCTTGCATTTTCCATGGAATTATCAAATATTTTCGATCATTCATTAAACGTTGATAATTGCTTAAACAAAAATTAATAGTAGTTACGTACTTGTCTCTTCCTGTAGAAAAGCACCCGAACGCTAATTCGACTCTAGATAAACTAGATAGCATTATGGGAACCTGAAACAACCCAGGTGCCACAAAACCCACACTCCAGACAATGTAAATAAGTTCATTTCCTATACTAACACCACCGGCAATCGAACCAGAACCATCATAGATGACACTTGAATCTGTCGAAAAGCCACTGGACATTGAAGGTTATCATACCTATAAGAGTTGATCGATGCATATTTGACTGAAGATGTGTACTGTTGTTGGTCGCGGAACGCCGGAACTGACCAAATGACATGATATGATAATCAAACTTGCACACTCGACGGATGATCAGATTTGCTCCGATGCTATAGAATCCAAAAGATTAACCGTATAGTGTGCTAAAAGGAATTTCAGTATTTTGAAGACTCACCACTATCTCTACTTTTCATAAGTATTAAAAAACTTATTTGAATGATTTCAGTTTGTAGAATATTTATCGTTCTCTCGATTTTCTTTTCCTTTTTTCTATGTTTATAACGATAAACTTTGACTTTTTTTGTTTTGTCTTTATTTCTATTAGAAAATTAAATCCACCTACTTCTTATTAGATTTATCAAGACACACCCGATTGAGCTATAATTTGTTTCCCCGTAAGGCGAACACTATCCGGCAGTGCCTTGATTAGGTAACCATTTACTTGTTTTATGTGTAGTTGTATAGTTAGTTGATCTCTATTTAAGGAATAGAATGAGATTCCTAATAGCCTCATTGTATAGGTAACACACGCAAAAATGGACCTACTCTCATGGATAGGAAAGGTTTAGCTTGTTGTCAGACTTAAATAATAATATATAATAGCCACTAAAGAGATATTAGGTTATGATCCCCATGGCCCATAATCTGCCAATAACAAAAGAAACTTTATATAATATAAACTTCATTACTAGCCGATAATATGGTGCTTTTAAATAACGTAAATGTGGATTCATCTTAACCTTTTCGGCAAAATAATTACAGAAAACAGATTATGCCATATCACCCTCCCAAATACGAGCGCCTTAAGCAGTTGCCTAGGTTGCCTTTATAGACAGGCCGGCCCTGACGCTATGCCAACTAGCGTTTTTATATAAATATCTTGCAATGCGTATGTTCGTCAAATCTAGCAACTGAATCTCAAAGCAGTTTTCCCCAACCGATTTATATAACTGAAATTTTGCATGCAGATTTAATTAAGATGATAATACATGCCTAGCGAAGTTCTATCATATTCAATAATTATATTTAAGGCGGATGGTCCAAAATATGCGTACCAAAAGATATTTATATCATTCCTTATCTAATGTGGTAGACCGCCTATGATAGCGTATGATAAGGGTCTCATCCCAAATGAAAGAGATCACGGAGAAGCTTACGAAAATGTAACTAAAATAAAAAATCTAACGCACTAAAAAGAAGCTTATTAGCATTTTAACGAACTAAAAAGAAAAATAAGCTTGAAATAATTCTATAGGTAATCAAAATCTTTCTTTTTTAGTTGATAAACTGATGAATTTGGATTTAGTTGATAATTGTTTCTAGAAAACTTTTACGTGGTACCTATATAGTGAAAAAAATGTAAAGTTCTGGAAATGCTTTTGACAAGGGTCAGTTTAGGGTCCGAAAAGTTAGTTTCGATTTGTTGAAATTGCAAGTGTGGCGAGCACATCAGTTGTCCGCCCCACGTGTTTTATTTAAAAAGAAACCTTTTACTTTGTTTTATTTTTCACTTTGTTTACTTTTATTGAAAATGGAAATGAAACTGAATGCTTTCTTTCTTTAGCTTTTTATTTGTCATACTGTGCGATATATTTTTCTTAAATATAATGCATATCAATGCTTTATATTTGTGTTTAAGCAGAGCTGACAGTAGATCGTCTATATTATTAGATATTATTTTATACTAATCAATCTTGCTCAACGCTTTCCCAATTAATTTGGTTAACTAAGACTTTCCTTGCAATACCGATATATAAATCATTTAAAATATTATTAGCAGTTTATATGCCGTCCGTTGCATACCATTTTATATTGTTTTTGTTTATGTGGTTTACATAATAAACTAATTCCTTCCTAAAAATTAAAAAAGCGCCACCTACCTTATCACCATCAAATTTTTCCGTCGGCTCTTCATAGCCGCGTAGTTCACGTTTCTCCCGCGAGTCACGTCGTGCCAACAATGGCGTTTGAGGAGGTGACGCTAGCGCCATGCTATTTCTCGCGCTCGTCGGCGGAGACTTTATGAACTCGATTTTACCGCCCTCTATACAAATGTTTGGCGTTAGCGGATACATTGGCGACATCGCAACGTTTGTGTTCGCCAAATGATTGTAATGATTATCTTCTAAAGGGAGAGATTTTGGTTTGTTTTTCTTACGATAAGTAGAATCATAGGCTAACATCTGAGTTTTCTCTTCAGGATGCACTTGCCGCACTTTCCCAGGTGGCCTGTCGGGAGGCTCTGGAGAGACATTACCATCTGTGCCAGGACTTTCATCTCTTTCGTTATTTGATATTCTGAAACAAAGAAGCATTATTTAATAAGATATCATGGAAAGTATATCTATAAAGGTGTTTTTCTTTTGCAATAGTCTAAATGCAGCTACTCATATAAAGTTCATATATTACTCAACAGATGGCGCTAGTAAGAATGTCGAAAACTACAAATAGTTATATTCTGTTTATTTGACTCTGTTTCGTGAGAATTATAATAGTAATAAGATTACATATAACTATAATATAAAAGTGATTATAAGCCTTTTCATATAAAGAGCAAATCATATTGTTTAAAATAAAAAGTACAAGAAATCCTACATCGCGCAGATGAAATTTTTACATTCACTAGATATATATACTTTTGAAGAAGCAAAGCTATTGGAAGTGTGTTCTTTAGTGTGATGCCACACCTGTACAATAGATCGCTAGCATTAGTTAGAAGGTCTACAGCTCGTGACGTCACGCGTTCGTTGTCGGGCCCGATCCTTGTAATGTGCGCTGCGGACGCTCGCCCGCGTGGCTGCGACGGCTTAGCGGCGCACATTCCTTGGGCGGTCTAAACCTTACGCGGTTTTAGTTAACTCGTTAGCTTAGCTCCGGTTAAACTTTGAGCACTTCCATATAATGGCGGCGAGTACCATCTCGATTGCCAGATTTTTGGAACTTGTTTTGATTATAGTAGAAATCACTTCACATTGTCTGTATGTATACATACACGCTGGGAATTAAAACTACAAAGAATTTTAAAAACGATTTCATCAGTATACCAGAGAATAATTACTTGTATAATGAATGTTTTTATATATATACTATAATACAGTTCATGCGGGCGAAGTCACTGATGGAAAGCTACAACACAATAGGAAACTTATAAGGAATAATTCCTTTACTGCCATTGTGAGCGTAAACCGCAGTAACAGCAAAAATGCATTTTTGAGTTCATATCGTCCAAAGGCCCAATTCAATCCCCACAAGCCTTATTAATTTTTTTCCACGACCTGTAACAGTATTTTCATTTCGTTTCTTTTAAAATCAAAGCGCCTAATTTGTCAATTTATCTGGAAAACGCCTAGATCACCACCTAATATGCAGTATTTTGACTACTTACGTACAGCATTTTAGTTTAGTTAGTTAGTTAATATAACCCCAAAACTGTTCAATATGCGGATAACAGATCACTTTACTGAATTTTAAATAATTAAAAAAACGATTAAGCAAATAGAATTAAGCAAAACTCGAAGCAGTAATAGGGTTTAAAAAAATATAATGGCTGTAATTTATTTTGTAATGACAATTGGCTGTATTAATTTGTGAATTATTTTAGTATTCAAATAACATATCACTGTTTATGATAAAACAGTGATTTGTTATTGTTTTTTAAAGATACATTTAAACTTCACGCGCATTTCTCGGTTTTTTGTTTTTGCTATACTGCGTTTTAGGCTCTGGACGGCAGTTTTTAATTTCATGTAATTCATTACAAAGAAAAATAATGGATTCAACAAATCTGCAATCAAATATTGTTATACTACATAGGTACAAACCAAATGATTAAAGCAAGCTATTTAAATTCAAAATATTGTGTATTAAATCATATTGTATATTAAATCATATTGTGTAAGTTCTAAGTAATCGAAATGTCAAGCAGGCCAACGTTACCTACCTCACAGGCCAACATTGTAACTCTTATCTACTTATCAACGCCCGGTAGCCAGTAACCGTGCTTACTTAACCGAGAAACTCCGTACACAAGAAATGTAGTTAGATAAAGTTTGAGTTTCTCATGCATAAATAATTCATTTGACAGTACATTAGGTGTGTATTTTATACTTTAAGAAGTTGAATTAAACAGGTACATGTTTGTATTAATTATTCATTAATATGGCTTCAAAGCTCATCAAAACATAGCTAAGTATTTACTACATACAGTTTTAGAGAGAAAATAAAAAAAAAAGCTTCAACAACTAAAACCCGATTATAGCGATAGCTATATTATTATATGTAATAGCGATGACCAAAGGAGCATAGTCGTATGGCACAACAGTTTGTTTTGTTATTATCAGCGGCTATAAAATGAATTTCTTGTTTTATACTTTTTAGACTATGAGCTTAAGTCAGATTTTAGTTTTGGAACTTATTATTTTATTTTATTAATTTTTAGTTTTACTATTGTGATATTTTGAACTTAAATAGAGAAAGTAATACCTACAGAGTATACACAAACCTCCATTAAAGTTTAAATACGACTTACGAATGTGTCTTTAAACAAATGACAAACCAATACCCTCCACGCTTACCCTTTTGCAGATTAGTGAGTATATCTATAAAAGACTGCAAATGGAGCAGGGTCCGAAGCACGAGTTAGCTAGAGATATTAATTTTTGATCACTCATTCCGGGACCGACCTTTGGAAAGTTGCTTAACAACTATGATCGCGCTTATCTACTACACCACAGAGCCACTCCCAAATGATTTTTATAAATATATTACTTTATAATCTCCTTTAGTTTGGGTGTAAGTAAGGGTACCATAGTTGTGTCAGATATTCCATAGCACAGGGGCTTTAGATACTCAACTTGGAATCTGAACAATTTGTGTAGTTGTCTAACATTTATGATATTGAAATAACATTATTTTGAACAATTTCGCATCTCAGAGTACCAGAAATCAAGTGGGTTTTTTAAGATTTTTTTATTAAGAATATTATAATACCTATTTATATTTATTCAATTGCTCAATTGCGGAACGAATACAGTAAATATTTTCAAATAACTCGTTCCGCAAATGAAGGTCATTTACCCTAATGTTTATGTAATAATGAGGAAGTATCTTGAAAAAAAAGAAAGCACTAGAAAAGCACCTCCACGAGATGGCGACTCTAGCAAAAGTTGATTTTTGCAGGAAACGAATGGACCAAAGACAGTAATTTCCATTCCTTTTAACTAACATATTAAAAAACTGAAATTTGCAAAGTTCGAAACTTAGATATCAATACAAACACGAAAAAGTACAAATAGAATATGAGTCGTTTAATTGGTTTTGAAAACTAATTTAGTTTTAAACATCAAAAAAAACCGGAAGGGTTGTCATGGAGAAATCTAGAACGTACCGTAGCGACATCTAGTTTGGTTTCGGGAACTAATTTTTTCTTTTAATACTTCCTCACACCTTCCTCATTACATCTCAATAGAATCTCAGCTACTTGCATTTTGGCATTGTGATATCTACCCGAAGTCCAATGTTATTTATTAGAGCAAGGTTTCCGTACAAGAGACGGTCGGTGGGATAAAACCCAGGTTTTTATCCCAAACGCCGGATTTTTATTTTGTTTATTAAGAATATATACAATAGCAATTTTGTTTGATTCAATATAATACATTATTTGTTGTATTCACGTACCTACTTGTGACATTATATGAAAAACGTTTACGAACTGTTTTGATGATGCTCCCCTACTTGCCAGTCTAAAATTCGGCCTTGATGTTACATAATAGAAATATGACAGTTGTTTGGTCAACCATTATTTAATACACCTTTTGCTCCAAAGAAAAGAAGTATTAGATAATCGTAGCTAATTAAATAGTATACTGTAAGCTTTTTTTTTATTTCTCATTATAACACTCTGTTGTTATTGTCATTGCGTTCAGTTTTTAATTAATTTAACAACAAATTATTAACAAGTACCTATCTTTGCATTAGATTTAGTCTCCACATCAAATATAGTGAATATCCTATGTAACGTAGGCAAAATAGTTACTTAAATATTTACATATACTAACTTTACGTAAGTATATGACCCTCATACATCTTTTTTATTCAAAGAGGTCCTCAGACGTTCCGAGTGCCTCCAGCCGTACTTCAACCACCGTATAATTAAAGCCTCCTTCAGTTTCAGCATGAGAGACCATCTTTGTGTATGAACGTATACTTTCGCTTTACCGCGCTCAGCAGAATTGAAATCTATTACTTGGATAGCATCCACACAGGAGCTTTAATAAACGGACCTTAAATCAGGCTTTATCCTGAGATCAGAATGAATTATGTAGATCTCAGATTTTTTTCTTGTGTTTTCCATAGATTTATATGTACATAGAGTACATTATTTTGAAAGTAATAAAAAAATACCTCAATTCATGCATCACACATACCTATCTAAAGGTTGCCTCTACTCTAACTAAGCTATCACGTGATTTTTTTATTGATTTTTTAGCAAATAGGCAAATAAAATACTCGTACAATAAATGTTTTAGGCAGTATATATATCTACTGACTCAATATGGCAGTTATGACTTGTCATATAATATGACATAAACACGGAAACGTATAGCATAGCATAAGCTTTATAATAGCCCATAATAATTGAACAAATAAAATGAATGTAGGTATATTATTATATAACAATATATAATTTAAAAGTATCTTTTTTCAAATTACAATCCTCATAAATCTAAGGATTTTTCAATGATAAAATCAACACAAAAGTTATTTTGATATAACACTCGACAAGAGTTGTTTGTTTTTTATACAATCAAAGTCGGAACAGTTTGTGCTATCTGATCGTTTGTAAATAAAATCAAGTCTAATGAGTATCCATTTTATCTTTTTATCAAATTAGCAGCTTGAAGATTTTCATTCCACTTCGATCCTAAGAAACTTTACCTACAGTGTCCCTTTTCCTTATCTTAATCCAAAGGGAATCTTTACTGAACACATTTTTTATTCAAATGCGCCTCCCCTCAGCCCAGAGTGGCATTGAGCCGCACTCATCAGCGTTTGTTTCCTCCTTACTCCATTTAGTTCACATCTAAATACGTCCCTGGGAAGGAAGACGCTAGCTCTCTTAAAAAACGCTCTTAGTACGGTTCTTTACACGCAAATTTAGACCGTATTTCGCGTAAGTTTGAATATAAAATAGATGGGAGCGTATGCGTCGTTTTGATGAGAGTAATTTTCACGGCAATATTTTCGTCACTTCCATCATTTTATTTCTTTTTGACAAGCGTGTTCCGACTACTGAATGT